GAATAAACAAATTTAATTCGAAAAGAAAACATTAGAATAAAAAAAAAAAAATAAAAAAAAAAATAGTAAAAAATTTCAAAAGACTAAAATACTTTATAAAAAAAGGGGTTCTCGCCAAAAAGTGACGTGAGTAATCAACAAAGTCACCTTTTTTTTTTCGAAATAAAATTTCCTATGGGGCCCAAATCTTCATATATTTCCTTTACCATCCAACACACAATATTGTAACTTAAATTATTATTGAATCTTTAAAAGGGTTTTTGAAACCTTTGGGAAATTTTTTTTGAAACCTTAGAATTGTTTCAAATCCTTCAAATTGCTTTTTAATCCTTTGAAAATTTTTAAAATTTGGTCGAATTTGAAATTAAAAAAAAACGAAATTTCCCCCAAAAAAAATTAACCCCAATTTAACTAATCGAACAAAACAAAAAAGCAAATAACGAATCGAAAAAAAAAAACAAGTTTTCCCCTTTTTGCACACTCTACTATAACATTATTTACAAAACCATAAACCCCAAAAAGTTTGGCTCCATGTAAAAACGGAAACTTCTAACAAGGGGAAACTTTACCCTTTCCGGAAACTAGGGTTAAAAAAAATCTTTTACTCTTTTCATAACGAATTTATGCCTTTTGGCCCTTTTAAAACATTTTTTTTTTAGAGTAAGCACGGAAACCTCCCAAATGCCAAATGCCCCGAAAAGATAATTTAATTTTAAATATTCAACTTTTTAAAATACAAGAGTAAACAGAGACACAGGGGTTTACATTTCTTTTAAATTTAATTTCCATTAAAATTTCTTTTTTTTCCAAGGGGGGAAGGGGTCTGGGGGGAGGGGGTCATTAACCAAACCCGGCAGGGGGCTTTATGGGAAAATTTTAGGTTTAATTGGGCATTTACATATCTTTTGTTCCAAGGGGGGGAATCTAGGTGTGAATTTTATTACAATTGTGACAAGCTTTAGGGAAAACCCATTTCCGTGTTTTTTCCATCTAGGGACCTTGAAAAGCACTTTTGCATGCATTTTTCAGATGAAAAAAGAGCTCTGACAGCAGTTGGAACGGAGAGAATAAAACAAAATTTCAAAACCACGTTACAACATTTGCGTTTGAAAACACTGATAAAATTGACTGCTGAAGCAAGTTTTCTGCATAAAAAAAAGACGTAACTGAAATGCCTGTAAACGAGAATGTCTACATGACACATAAATTGAATCCATTAGAATAAAAATAGAAAAGATTAAATAGAAATTCAAAAAGATAGAATAAAAATACAGAGCCAAAAAAGATCAGATAATAAAGCAATAAACGAATAGAATCCATTAAATAGAATAAAATAGATAACAATAGAAATCAATAGGGATAGAAAAGAATAAATACATTAGATTTAATACAAATGATTAAATAGATTATCTTTAATAGAAATCCAAAAACAACAGAGCAACAAAGATCATGAACAAAAAGGAATAAATAGAATCCATTAGAAATAAAAAAGTACAGATATAGAATAGAAAAATCACAAGAATTGAAAACAATAGAATACAGATCGAAACAATCGAAAAGGTTATAAGAGAAAATCAACGATAGAAAATAACGAGCAAAAAAAGAACAGAAAATAAAGCTAGATCCGAATAGAATCCATTAGAATAAAAAAAGAAAAGATTAGAATAGAAAATCAAAGAATAGAAAAAACTAGAATACAGTAGAATAGAACAGAAGGTTAGAAGATAAAATCAAAGAATAGAAAATACGAGCAAAAAAGAACAGGAAATAAAGGAATTGAAAAAGAAATAAACGGAGCAAAAAAAGAACAGAAAATAAAGGAATAAAAAAGAATAGAATCCATTAGAATAAATAAAAAAAAAAGATTAGAATAGAAAATCAAAAAGAATACAAAAAAGAATAAATACAGTAGAAAAGAATAGAAAAGGTTAGAAAGAAAACCAAAGAAATAGAAAATAACGGAGTAAAAAAAAGAACAGAAAATAAAGGAATAGAAAAGAATAGAATCCATTAGAATAAAAAAGAAAAGATTAGAATAGAAAATCAAAGAATAAAAAGAATAGAATACATTAGAATAGAATACAAATGATTAGAATAGAAAATCAAAAAAATAGAATAGAAAACAACAGAGCAACAAAGAACAGAAAATAAAGGAATAGAAAAGAATAAAATCCATTAGAATAAAAAAAAAAAGATTAGAATAGAAAATCAAAGAATTGAAAAGAATAGAATACAGTAGAATAGAATAGAAAAGGTTAGAAGAGAAAATCAAAGAATAGAATAGAAAATAACGGAACAAAAAAGAACAGAAAATAAAGGAATAGAAAAGAATAGAATCCATTAGAATAAAAAAGAAAAGATTAGAATAGAAAATCAAAGAATAGAAAAGAATAGAATACGGTAGAATAGAATAGAATAGGTTAGACTAGAAAGTCAAAGAATAAAATAGAAAATAGAGCAAAAAAAAAACAGAATATAAAGAAAAGAATAGACTCCATTAGAAATAAAATAGAAAAGATTAGAATAGAAAATCTAAGAATAGAAAAGAATAGAATACATTAGAATAGAATAGAAAAAGGTTAGAAGAGAAAAATCAAAGAATAGAATAGAAAAAAACAGAGCAATATAGAACAGGAAATAAAGGAATAGATTAGAATCAATTAGAATAGAATACAAATAGAAAAGATTAGAATCGAGTAGAAAAGATTAGAATAGAGAATCAAAGAATAGAATAGAATAGTATAGAAAACAAATAGAATAGAAAGAAAATAGAAAAAAAGAATATAACTGCCTTCCAAAACTTGAATTTTGAATAGAACAAATTTGAATTTGAACAGAACACATAATAATAGAATATAAAATAATATAAATATATCTAAAATAATAGAAAACATTAGGGAGAGTTCAGAGGCTGCTGAAAAAAACACATAAAAGCTCCTAAACGTGAGTTTATCAGCTGCAGTGTACATGAGCCCTAATGGTCCTAGCCGGATAAAATTCTACTTTGATGTACTCTATCTTTCTAACTTTAAATGTTAATTCCATCCAAGATGGAAAATTTCAATTTTGAATGTGTAACAGTGTGCAGCCGTTATTGTTTCTCACACAGACTTCAGTGCAGTGGAATTGGCTCATCTCACCTCCTACAAAGGTGTCACTAGATTCTTGATATACCGATGAAGCATGACACCGGCATAGGCTGTCTCTGCAGGGCGAAAACTGGAAAATCCAGCAGGGAGATAATGCCACTGGAGGTCCCAAGAGATGTGATAAGGCAGAATGCGATTCATCTGGCTAGTAACTGCGTCACACAGAATTATAGTTCTTTTTTCTGTGATGTTGGCAATTCGCTACCTGGTATGGGGCCCAAAACGTGCGTGTGACCATTTCTGCTGGGGACTCAAGGTATTATTTGCATGTTTGTACATTTTCTGATACTACTGTCCAGGGGCGGACTGACCATTTGGAAACTCGGGCACTGCCCGAGGGCCCTGGGTCAGTAGGGGGCCCCATGAGATGCCCCTGGTATCTTTCCATAGGCTTTTTTGAGTTTGGGCAAGGACACAGGGGCCCCATGATCCCCTATTGCCCGGGGGCCCCATGAGTTGTCAGTCCACCCCTGCTACCATCATTGTAAAAAATATGTTTCAGTTTCTTCGGTTGGTGTTTCACTTCCTTCATGATGCTTTTTAAAGTTTTCTATCGGAATGTTGGTTCATTGAGATTTCAGGAATTTCATGTCTGCACAGTGCATTAGCTTGTGTCGCAAGTGCTCCCTCTACTGGCTGACTGCAGATTTTTTTTTTTATTTTTTATTTGTGTTTCCAGATTTAACCTAACAGTATGTTAGAAGGAAGAATCAAAGACCACATTCTGTGCACATGTAGCAGCTGTAGTGGTTATATGACTGGATGTTCTGTATTTTGCATTCAGTAGGTGAATGGATTTTGATTGAACACGATATGTTTTAAAATTACCTTCTATGCTATAGAATAGGCTTTCAGTTACCCAGAGATATGAGCAAATGAAAGTATACAGTATGTAAATCCAATCACTAAAAATGTGATATATGTTATAATTTGTTAAGGAAGATTACTTTGGAAATGACATTTTGAGTGCCTGTTCACAACATACCCGCACTAGGATTGCACAGGAACGCGCTGTGCGTTCCCGTGCGATTTCCTCGTATGCAAAATGCGCTGCTTTTGCGATCTGCAGCGGGTGTCATTAAAATGTTAATGACACTTCAAACACAGGTTGCAAACGCAGTGTGTTTGCCCACACCTGCCCTTGGGTGTATTGTACTTTTGTACCAATCGATCCAGTTACACTGCGTTTTAAAAAGTAGCGCATGCAGTACTTTTTGTCTGTGCGATTTAGCTCCGGGCATGGTGTGAATGGGCCCTTGAGCCTGGGTTCACACTGATGCGGTGCGGACTTCGCAGCTTTTTCTGTGCAAATTCCGCACTGCGTCACATCGCACTCTGTTCAGGCAAACTGCTGCGGGTGTGTATGTCAAGTTAAAAAAAAAAACAAAATAGGTTCGCAAAACGCGGTGCAATGTGCAGAATCACATCGCATGGGTGTGAATATACATGCGATCCGATTCTAGTGCAAATGCAGTGTGATATGAGCCATACAAAATGTATGGCTCCAATGGCACCGCACACAATCCGCATGTGATTTGCACAGGAATGCGGTGTGGTCCCTGTGCGAATCACATGTGATATACCCAGGGGCGGAGTGACAAGTCATGGGGCCCCCGGGCAATAGGGGATCATGGGGCCCCTGTGTCCTTGCCCACACTCAAAAAAGCCTATAAAAGGTACCAGGGCATCTCATGGGGCCCCCTACTGACCCCGGGCCCTCGGGCAGTGTGCCTATGTGTGAACCTAGCCTAAAGCAGATCTCCAGCCTCCAGCCCTCCTTTCTCCAACCTTTCCAAACCTGCACCTGTTTTAAAAATGAAGCAGTACAGTGGCTAATGCAGGCCATACATGGGTCAAATTCCGAACAAATTTTGCTTAGAAATTCTGAAAGCTTGTGCATTTTCTAATCCGATGGTGCCACCATTGATTTCAAAATTCAACCAACCAAGCACATGCTACAGAAAAGAATTTTCGTGGCCAAGAATTTTCTTCTCTTTCCAGGTCACAGCTCATGCTAATTTCTTTTTCGCCGCATAATTCTAAAATCATTGATGAAAAATTTGTTCGGTTTTCAAAAAATTTCCAACATGCCAGATCACTAAAATTTGATGACCACTTGAAAATCGGCCATTGCTGTGGCCCACTAATTCTAAAGAATATTATTTCAGAATTTGACCCATGTATTGACGGCTTAAGTGGTTAGCACTTCTACCTGGAAGCTCTAGGGCCATGCACCCCTGTACCTTTAAGGAGGAGTGGGCTCCCTCCATAAATCGGTCATTGAAAATCGGCCATTGCTGTGGCCCACTAATGGTGCGAAATTCAAAAGAAATTCTCAGAAATGATTTTCTAAAGAAAATTATTTCGGAATTTGACCCATGTATGGACGGCTTAAGTGGTTAGCACTTCTACCTGGAAGCTCTAGGGCCATGAGCCCTTGTACCTTTAAGGAGGGGTGGGCTCCCTCCATACATACTGGCCCTCAGTCTATCCATTATTGTACATGTGCACCTACTATGGAGGCTCTCAAAATGTATAGTGTTAGGAACTGCAGAATACTGGGGTGCCATGAAGAGGCTCTGCAGCTTATGCCTATATTTGCAAATGTGTGCAAACTAAACAAAATGTGGCATGGTTGCATCTCATTCAATATTAAATACCAGCAAAAAATAGAAATATAATAATAATAATAATAATTGAAAGTTCAATCCCTTGTGAAAATGCTTCAAAACTCCATTACAAAGTCCAAAGCCGTGTACATCCCAATCCACCAAAATCGCCAACCACCGATAAGCCAAAGGTCAACCAGAGTAATATATGACTCTCAAATTATAAAGAAATCATATTGTGCATGGTGTCACATCAAATATGGACAGGACTCCAGGTTTTATCACAGGACACGTCCAGACAGGAGCATCACCAAGGCATGACCTATGCAATTCTCAAAGGGTATCCAGCAAGGGACGCCTCCAAAGCAATGGTCATCAATCACAGGAACAATTTGATCAAGAAAAAAGAAAGAGACCACCACTCCACATAGTGTAAATCCGATGCACAGGTTTATTGTAACATGTCTATTGTACTTACATTGACATAAGTTGTAAACAGCACTGTATAAAATCAAAAGCCAGCCAAATTCTGCCTCTGGGGACACATCCAATAGCGTGATGACGTCACTTAATGTACACGTTTCAGCAAAGATGACGTCTTCTGGGGCATCACCTATGAACAAATTTGGATACCAAAGTTTGTTCCTGTTTCACAGACATGCACATTTCTAAGGTTTTACATGGTGGGTATTTATGTATTTGGTGCAACCTTATGTATGAACTTGGTAATATATTGTACTTGTATGCCCTAAAATTAACTTTATTGTACTATTTACAGAAAAGTTTCACTTGTTTTGCTAATATTGTATGAGCAAAATCCTCTCTTGTATTAAAAGAGGTATAGACTCCATTGAGAGAGATATCATATTACCCCGGTACAAATCATTAGTAACACCTCATCTGGAATATGCAGTTCAATTTTGGGCACCAATTCAAAAAAAGAACATTGGGGAACTGGAGAAAGTACAGAGAAGGGCAACCAAACTGATACGAGGCATGGAGGAGCTCAGCTATGAGGAAGGATTAGAGGAAGTGAATTTTTCTCTTGAGAAGAGGAGATTAAGGGGGGATATGATCTCCATGTATAATAAATAAGGGGGATATGATCAACATGTATAATACATAAGGGGGGGATATGATCAACATGTATAATACATAAGGGGGGATATGATCTCCATGTATAATACATAAGGGAGGATATGATCACCATGTATAATACATAAGGGGGGGGTATGATCTCCATGTATAATACATAAGGGGGATATGATCACCATGTATAATACATAAGGGGGGATATGATCAACATGTATAATACATAAGGGGGGATATGATCACCATGTATAATACATAAGGGGGGATATGATCTCCATGTATAATACATAAGGGGGATATGATCACCATGTATAATACATAAGGGGGGATATGATCACCATGTATAATACATAAGGGGGGATATGATCACCATGTATAATACATAAGGGGGGGTATGATCTCCATGTATAATACATAAGGGGGGATATGATCACCATGTATAATACATAAGGGGGGATATGATCAACATGTATAAATACATCATTGGTTCATATAGTGAACTGGGTGTAGAGTTATTCACCCTGAAGTCATCACAGAGGACAAGGGGGGTACTCTTTACGTCTGGAGGAAAAGAGATTTAATCTCCAAACATGGAAAGGTTTCTTCACAGCAGAGGCGGACTGTCAACTCATGGGGCCCCTGGGTAATAGGGGATCATCGGCCCTGGGTCCTTGCCCAAACTCAAAAAAGCCTATGAAAAAGGAACCAGGGGCATCTCATGGGGCCCCCTACTGACCCCGGGCCCTCGAGCAGTGCCCAAGTTTCCAAATGGTCAGTCCGCCCCTGCTTCACAGTGAGAGCTGTGAAAATGTGGAATAGACTCCCTCAAGAGTTGGTTCCGGCCAGCTCAGTAAATTGCTTTAAAAGAAGCCTGGATTCTTTCTTAGATACACAGAACATAACTGGATACTAACATTTATAGGTAAAGTTGATCCAGGGAATATTCAATTGCCTCTCAGGGGATCAGGAAGGAATTTTTTTTCCCTTGCAGGAGCAAGTTGGATCGTGCTTTGCTGGGTTTTTTGCCTTCCTCTGGATCAACTCTGGGTGTAGGATTATAACTTTTTTTTGTTATGGTTGAACTGGATGGACTTTTTATCTTTTTTCAGCCACACTAATTAAGTAACTATGTAGCTATGTATGACATAAATTTGGAACTACAACCATTTAGTTCTCCAGGGTTTCTCTTTTCAGAAAATATATAATGTTTGGGGGTTTTAACTAATCTTCAGCCTAATATGATTATTTTATCTTAAAAAAAAAAAACATTTACTATGTTTTTCTTGACCCTATTTATTTCTAAGCAAATGTTTACCTTCTGTCATTGTGACGTTTATACACAATGTGTTTCTTTTGGAATTGTGTAATGTTTTACAATTTGGGCTTCGACCCTTAATAAAAATCTACAATTCAAAAAAAAAAAAACAAAAAAAACGCAAAAGAGGTTAAAAGAAAGTGCTTGCTATTAGTATTAATGTCAGACTTCCAATATAAAGCATCTCAACTGTTGTAAAACACAAAAAACTATTTTTTTTTCCCAAAACAGACAGCTTTACACTCATTTTAATGGCAAAACAGTTATTTTGTTGAATTATACATCCAGGTGGTGGTCTCCATTTCTCAAACACGATGTACTTGAAAAATAATAAAAAACGAGCTCTTCAGATCCTGAGACGATAAAACACGAGAAGGTAAAAAAAATCTCAGCAGAGTTATTGTTTATAGATGATGCTATTCTGAATGTTGATGACAATATTGATCTCAGAAGTTTAGGGCAGGTAAATATATTATTGTCAAACGACCCCGTAAAAAGTTATATACTGGCTACAAACCGCATGCAGAAACAGACGCAGGTGTGATTAAATTGAGTTTGGCTAGCCGATGCCTTTTAATCTTAAGTATGGCGCTGTATTTTCTGAGCTTGGATGAACAATTAAATGAATGGGCCTTCAGTTTCTCAGGATCAACCATAATGTCCTTTTGCTGCTGTATGTGTCTTAACCAAATAATATTTATTGTAAGCGCAAGCTTGTTACAATACATTGTTTATGTCATCCATCAAACCTTAGCAGGGTTCTGCGTATCTCACTTGGATTTGGCAGATTTTCAATAGCATCCCAAAACAGCCCCTAATCCAATATTCCCGCTACACATTTACTAGTTGCAAATCTTGCTCTTGTTGATCTGTGCTATTAGAAGTGATAATAACATTATTATCCACAGTTGCTGCTCGGTATACTAATAAACATAATTATAATGCAGCGGCAATGTACCGGTTTATTGAGCAGAAACTAGTTTGAAGGGATGCTAGATACTTAATGCTTAAAGCTCGACATCAGGAAAGCAACCGAATATGCAGTTTAAATACACATATGGGAGCTGTTTTTATCTGCCATATAATTTGTCGTTCTGTTTAGCCAGTTTTGTGATCCAAGCATCCCTTCCAGACAGAGTAACCTGGTCCCTGACCTCCACTGGAGTGGTATAGGCTGATTAACCTCTTAGCGCCGGCTGAACGCAAATGTGCAGCCTCCCGGCGTCTGGGCCTAGATGCCGAGTGGCTGCACATTTGCGTTCTATTAAAAAAAAACCTATGTGCTGAGAGCGTGCGCCCTGAGCGCTCCCAGCACACATGTCCAGTACTCAGGGAAAGGTCCCAATCTCCTCTTTCGATCGGGACCTTTCCAGATCATGTGACTGCTATGACGGCGTCTAGGCCTAGATGCCGAGCGGCCACACATTTGCTTTCTTTTAAAAAAAAAACATATGTGCTGAGAGCGTGCACCCTGAGCGCTCCCAGCACACATGTCTGGTACTCACGGAAAGGTCCCGCTCTCCTCTTTCGATCGGGACCTTTCCCGATCATGTGACCGCTGTGATGGCATCTTGGCCTAAACGCCGAGCGGCCGCACATTTGCATTCTATTAAAAAAAGCATATGTGCTGAGAGCGCGCGCCCTGAGCGCTCCCAGCACACAGGTCCGGTACTCACAGAAAGTTCCCGATCTCCTCTTTCGATCGGGAC